ACACTGTTATCATCAACTCCCTTTTGGCAAGAGGCACATGAATCGCAGGTCTATCTGTTTATAAGCAATTTAGTTGCAGGCCAGCCCAGTTGTATCAGATAACAGATAAGAAGAGTAAAACACTTACATTAATATAGTTTGGGGAAATAATCATTAGAAAAATCTTGCATATAGATAAGAATAAACCAGAAGAACGTATCAAATCTTTCACTCCGTAACAAAACTTAGCTAGCACTTTTTCCACAAAGACCTAACATTTTCCATGAGAGCAGACCTTGAGGAGTCCCTCTGTCTCAACACCACTTGGTCTAACTTTAAACCAAAAAAGCTGTAATTCAGAGTTCCGTGTTCCCACAGCAAGATCAGACCTACAATAAGTGTGTGTGTGTATAAATATAAAAAACACTAGTGACTTCAAGTTTCATGCTTTAATCAAAGAATGGACCAAGATTTCCAAATAAAGAACTTTGAAAAGAAGCTGCAAAAATCTTTACCCAAATGTGCGCAAATGTATGTGGGGGAAAAAAAAAAACAAACCACTTTGAACCTAAAATGGCCTTGGATTCAAAGACCATGAGAAATCTACCATCAGCAGAAAGTTTAGCAGTGCATTAAAGGGAGTGCAGTTCTCGTATTGCCTTATAGCTCAAGACCAAATGAAAATTCAGAGAGCAAGCACTGGAGGTCTCAAGCAAGGGATCTGGGAAGCATATGCATTCCGCAAGATGATCACCAGTGCTCTAGTTAGAAAAATGACAGTTCAAAGCAGAAAAATAGTCTGGCTTAAAATTAAATTTTTATCTGTTAAAGAGAAAAAGAGAAATGAAATTAAGCATGATGTAACAGGATTCAATTGAAGTGGTTTGGATTCCTTCATCATTTGTTAGCCATCAGCTGGAAATGACCATGGAGAAACTGCCTCCCCACAGAGTTCAAGCTAGCATCCCATTTTAAAGGCAGTTTTTCCACATGCCATTTCTGCAATACACAACTAATGAGCACTGGCATACAACTTCATTATTCGAGTAGTAACCAACATTTCTATCAAAAAGTATACTACAGAAGTTTCAGCTTTTTCCCCAGAGAAAACAGATTTTATTCTGTACCAAGTTTGTTTATTTCAAAGAAGATACCACAGAAAGGTACCACTGACTTGTGTGCTGATTTAACTTAGTGTTCCTAACTGGATACGTAAAAACAAAAGCAGTCATTTTTGGATATCCATTAGTGTTGAAGTGCTACTTCAATAGTTTTCCAACTCAACAAGCATTTGTAACTTGTTTTTTTTTATTCAATTTCTACAGAAGTTTTATTTCCAGAAAGTCTCTCGGCCTTTGCATTGCCCTATGTTTTTGACATGTCAGTGATTAACTGCTAAGATAATGGGACAGTCAAAATTAACTAAAGTTATTTGAGTAGTCACTAATTACATTGCATCTGTTTAAAACCCAGAGATCACAAAGACTACTTAAAACTCAAGACTGGGGAAAAAACAAAACAAAACAAAAACCAAACTTACTTGTTCTCCAAGTTTATCCAAGTTGTCCAAGAAATACTTCACAGATTCCCCCTAAAACCAAAGCAAACAGTTATTTAAATAAGTGGCACACTTGATTCCAATAGTTTACATTCTGAAGTTTAGTTAATTTACCGAAACCTAGATTTAAATGTTGTAAGCTTTAATCACTACTATTTTTTAAGCAGCTATCCTAAGAATACAACTGACGTTTTATTTTTAGGTCAGTTAATATTTAAGCTTAAAAGCATAGGTAGGCACATATTATAATAGTTAAATTCTTTCCAAGTTCAGAATTGCTAAATAAATCCCACAGCGTTATCCACAGGGAGTATCAATGAAGTAACCACACCTTCGTTATGAAAAGACACATTCAATTCTTCTAACCCTTTGAAGAGCCTGCACATACAGGCATTCAGGTATAGGGATTAATCACTGGAGACAAGTTCATTTGTAACTGCGTTGCCATACGATCCCATTCATACAGGTACTTCCCCTGAGCACTGCAAATGACTAGCGGAATAGAGGATGAGAAACCACAACAGATGAAGCATTTTACTAAACTTTCCTATCAGAGACCAAGTTGGACAAGAACTCCTTACCCTGGCAGTAACAAACAGAGCTCCGTGCTGCCATACTGCATGATATCACATCTACTGTACAGGTTATCTTCCAGATTCAAGCCATCACTATCCTTGCAAATAGTAACTGCAGTTTTTAATCCCTCCAGTAATGCGCTTGTAAGCCTGAACTACAGTCAACTCTCCAGAAGTCCGTTAGGGTGCTGGGATTAAGGAAGAACTTTTCCAAGGATGCTGCTGAAC